ACTTTGTTGACACATTTGTCTTTTACTCTGGTGCTGTAGTTGTTTGTTCCACAGACGTAATCATTTCTGGTTTATCCTCAATTTCCAGGGGAACCAAATTCTNCGAAACAGAAATCCAACCAAACATACCTGGAACCATCAGTTGGACAAATTGTATTATTGAAACAAAATGCATTCCACAATGACACTCCAATGGGACGTCTCAAGTGGAAGTTATGCAAAATATTAAAAGTTTACAGAAGTCCCAGAGACCACCGAATCCGATCAGTGGATGTTTTGACGTCACGCCGATATAACCGAGATGGAACATCAACTCCACACATTTTGACAAGTCAGTCAATCCAGAATTTGGTTCCCCTGGAAATTGAGGATAAACCAGAAATGATTACGTCTGTGGAACAAACAACTACAGCACCAGAGTAAAAGACAAATGTGTCAACAAAGTCCGGTCATATTCATACGATGCAAAAATACAAACAATCACCAAAAACAAAAATGCCGCCAAAAAAGAGGAGCACAAGATTCAACTTTATCACCGACAAAGAAGGATCAACGCCCGTATGTTTATATACATGGACCAGAGGCACTTGGTTAACATTCTTTACCAAAAAAGGCAACCCGTTTCAAACAATTAAAATGCCTTGCAAATACTGGTCAAAATACGAACAAAAGGGAACAGCCCACAATCCTCAAGATCAAATACCTCAAATGGGAGATCATTGGAGTTTCAAACACATTAATTATTCCGACTTGACAGATAAGGCACTTCAGCCTCAACTTCACTGGCGGCAACCAATACGCGTCCGCGTGGGCCAACCAACCACAGCCAATTGTCATCAGACATGGCAATGATCATGAGTTCGTTTTCCTCTACCACCTTCACGACGCATCCAATTGGCCAGCCACCCCATCTTTGTTGGGCCGAAACTTGGTCTCTTGAAGACCACGTTAACTCCGAGGCAAAGGTTTCCTTGTACTCTTTGTGCAACAAATCTTTGATTCTGAAGCGATCAGAAAAAGACATGGATCAACATTCAAACATTCTTTTCAAAACATTCATTTCCATAACTTACTCATCGAATGGGTTTTTCACAATGCCGCCTCCACCAAATTCAACGTGTCCACAAGCCAACATCGGACACGGATACAGTGAATCATTCCGAAAATGAGAATGTGGCTCATATGGCGACTTCCCAGGCAAGGCGGTGCCATCCGGATTCCATGCTGGTGCTTGACCTGGACAGATCCGCACATTCATCACCAAATCCCTTGCCATTATCAATGTGGCAAAGAACATCGCCACCACGTGGTTGCAGGCAAACCACAAATAGGCCTGTGAGTTCAAATGGCCAAAAGATTTGAAGTCGCTTTTCATTATCTTAGCGAACGGAGCCAAATAATCCAATGGAGTGGGTAAGGCTTACCACCCCTTCACGTCCAACGAATGGCCATGCAGTCTTCCTACTTCTTGACGAAGCATTTTGTCCAAAAGTCCCTGGAAAAAGGAACCAGCGCCCAGACGCTGCTCTGTGGTGACAAAACCACGATCAACCCTCCTCAGGGGAAAACAAGGGAGTCCAGTCTCCCGATGAAGACGGAATTCAACTTTGTCTCCAATCCACTCTCCAGGCAACGAAGCGCCCAAAGCAAACACGGGACATTTGAACACCTTTGAAAGGCGTCGGTAGTATGCCTTCAGATCATTGAAGAAGGCAACAAAGTTGGTATACTTGCAAGGCCCAGTGACCGTCACAAGCTCCTTAATGTCATTTGTTCCAATTCTAACGCACAATTGCGTGAACTGGAAATCCTCGGGAAGCTTCAAATTGTCGTAGACACGTTTCCGAACGTCCTTGGCTGACCACAGGTTGTATCTGCTTCCGTAAACAACACACAAGCCGCTTGCTCCATACTGCAAACAAAGAAAGGATGACTTCAATGGGTACAAACATCATTTTCAAACACAAACCTGGTATACGTCGAACTTCAGGTCCTTTGTCAAATGACTGAAGTCAAACACTGGAAAGACTTGGTCTTCCTTCTTCCCGACACGGGTGAGGTAGGTCTTATCCGGGGATCCTACCCTCCATGGGCAGATCAACAAAGTCCCCAACAGCAGCACCCGCACTGCCGCACACTCACATGCCTTGTCCCTCATGATTTTGAGGGCTTTGTTTCCGTACAGAATATCCTGCACACTGCATCCAGGAGTAGGCAGATGCTGGCCTTTCATCTTCCGAACATTTCCTTCCGAAATGCCCATACGTTCTGCAACGTTTGTCACGTACTGGTCCCAATCTTTGGGATCAAACTCCCACCAACCAGTTGCACGCCAACCTGAGACGACATTGATACAAACAGTTGTGATACAAACTTAAAAAACATCGATTTTTTCAAACACTTATGAAAAGTGGAGAAAACCGCATTTATCGATTGCGGTACTTCAGTGGTTGGGATGCTTCCTGCGTCATCTGAGTCACCATCTCTGACGTCCACGACCGCTCCAGCCATAGCAGATTCACATGACCGCAAACGTAGACAATCTCCAACTTCTTTGCACTTTTCAAGTGGACTCAGCAAGGCCTGGACAGTCACCTTGTGCAGCATCGGAGGTGTGGATGTCACCCTTGGTTCAGAAAGATCTCAGGCATCATACTCTTGCAGCCAGAGCTCCCGTAGATCGTCAGATGGCCCATACGCCACGGATAATTTTGGCTCTCCAGCCAAATCAAAGATGCGAACACGGCCTGCAGAAATACAAACACTGTATACTTTTGAACGCAGACGGCCCTCATCAATCTGCATGCGAGAAGCGAAGGCCTCCTTCAAACAATCGTCAGAGGCCGCAATCAGGGCCTCGCCACGACGAATGCGCTCTTTATCAGAGGCAATTTGACGTTCAACGGCGTTTCGCCGTTCCTCCATCTCAGTCGCAACTCGGTCCAGCTCCTCGGAATCCTTCTGGACCCTCTCAATCCACATACGATTGATCGCCACACTCTGTTCCAAGTGTGACTTCGTCATGTCCGTGCACGCTGACGTTTCGACGACCGGCAGCAGGGTGTTCAATCGGTGCAAACATTCCGCATTCAAGCGGCTGAACACTGGAGCCAGTTCCTCTGCACCGCTTGGGAACCACATCACTCCCACTTCGTCGTCAAGCCGTCGAATCTTCCGACGCGGCGACTCGAAATCCTGATTCTCCATACTCAATGGAACGCTGTTCCCGCCGTTGGAGCCACTGCTCAAATCCGCTGCCTCTGCAAAAACAACGTGAAAGCAGATACGTGTCACAATATTGTCCCTCATGCCAAAGGGGTACAATAAATTGACACTCACCCTTGTCAATTGAGTCTTCTCCACTCATTTTCTTGTTTGGCACGATGACGATGTTCGAAAAAGAAAAACTTCTTGCCGTTGGAGCCACTGCTCAAATCCGCTGCCTCTGCAGAAACAACGTGAAAGCAGACACGTGTCACAATATTGTCCCTCATGCCAAAGGGGTACAATAAATTGACACTCACCCTTGTCAATTGAGTCTTCTCCACTCATTCTCTTGTTTGGCACAATGACGATGTTCGAAAAAGAAAAACTTCTAGTGCGCACTAGTTTCTGAAACAAAGTAAAGAGAACATGTCATCAAAAAACTGTCTAATGAGAGCTCTCACATGAAAAAATGTTGTACAACAAAGTGGCGTACGAGACGCCTGGAGGTCAATACCTCCTGTACCTTGAACAATTTCGAGATGAGTTTGGACGATGGAAACTTGGTCACAGCACCACACTTGGTCACTGCACCTAGGTGTGTTCTGCCTTTACCTCGACCTGTTTCGAGATGCCGGTCGACTAAACCGATGGTTGTGAGAGGATTCCGGGGTTATGCCAAAACTCCGCGATGGGAATTGGCGTACAAGCCGCCAGAGGTCAATACCTCCTTTACCTCGACCTGTTTCGAGATGCCGGTCAACTAAACCAATGGGAAGAGGCATACAAGTTGCCTTAAATTGGATACACTTCCTCTTATGAACACAACAATCAGACAATGGTTGGAAATATTGATTTCACAACCCAAGATGGCATGATCAACTTACACCTGGAGAACGTGAAGAATTTTGCCCACACGTTTCCGTGAGCAGAACCCTTCAAGTCCAAAGGCATGAAGCCATATGCCACATTACACGGAATTATATGAACACTGGACACGAAGCAAAAATGAACCTTTTGCGCAACTGCACATGCGCAGTACAAACATGAAACAAAGCATACGAGCTTGCCTAATGAAAACGATGCAACGAACTTTGCAAAGGAATGCTACAAATTTGCGGCTCACGCCCGCAAGCAGTTGAGATCATTGTCTCCTGCTTCAACCAAAGTTATGTTTTACACAGATTGCTGTGACAAAACTAACGCACGCCAGGAGAATGTGAAAAACTTGGCCCACATGTCAAACGTGGGCTAAGCTTTTCAAATCCTATGGCACAACGTTGCTGTACGACAGCAATGGACCACTTCAACATTTTTACAAACACGATGAAATTGAAAACACGGACTCAGGCCTGGAGAATGTAAAGAACTTTGCCCACACGAATCACGTGGGTTAGGCCCTTCACACCCNATTTGTGGACTTGGACATTGCTGATAAACACAAGTTGAGGGTTCAGGACCCTTAGGCCGCAAACGGCCGATTGTGCTATAAACTTATTTCACTAAAACCTGATATTTGTGTTGGGGTCTGAGGACCTCTCACAGCTCTTTCACGTGTCATGGCGGCCGCCTGGAGGAGAAATCGAACCTTCCCCGATATTATTATTTATTGCTCGAGGCGGAATTCGCAGAGTTGTGCAATGTGGGTCAGAGATTACAAAAAAATAAGCGGGTTCTTGGATGAAAGGAAGCAGGAAGGAAAATGTAAATTCGAAGAAATGTTCTTTTTTTCTTTTGTGAATTTTTTGTTGCTTTTCTGATGATCCGGAAGCAAAAGTCCGAGGAAAATTGGTGAAATGAAGGATTGCGACTTGGGTTCCGATTATTACAAAATTCTTCTCGAACGCTTCGCGCAGTAATTTTTTTTTTCTGGTTATGATTCATTCTCGAAAAATACGGTAAGTTTTTTTTTCGGGGGACATAAATTCTCCTGGTTTTCAACAGGTGCGAGAAAAATGCTTGTCAAGTATCATTTTTCATCTGTTTCGCGAGAAACAATAGATAAGTTGTCCAGGGAAATTTTTATTTAAGCCGCGTGCGAGACTTTGATTGATGTTGCTTATCGCTTCCTTGGGATTTTCTTGGGCGTACAATTTTCTTTCTTGACGAATATATTTTTTTCAATGTTTTTCGATTACTGACATTTGGCAGGAAATCCCCGAAGAAAAAAAAAAAAGTTTTCGATGCCACGCCCGGAAGATCAGCGAGAAAAATATTTTCTCTGTTTGGATAATGAGGTCCTTGGACGTCGAAGATAATTTTCTGAGGAACAAAATTGATGAAGCATACATCCTGGTGTTTTGTTTTGTTTTGATGGGAAAGTGTGATTTCCGGATTAAATTTTGGCCTTGAAATTTTTATTTATTCATTATTGGAAATCTTTTGAATATATCGTGGAACATCGAATTTTTTGTGCGTGCGATGATTAAAAAACAAAAAATATTCAGATTAAATTGTGTCGAGAAAAGCTAATTACTACGCATACTACGTAGCGAATAACTTCGATTGTCTTGCCAAAATTTGACATGAAAAAAACTGTAATATCCTTAATTACTACTTTTGAAAAATTGATCAGGTGGAGAAATTTCCCGCGGACCGGCAAAAAACTTAACACTGATTTAGAGAATGGGCTTCAGTTTTATTTTATTCTTTATATTTTTTATTATTCGTTAAATCGTTATAGAGGACTTTGGTTAACTGAAATTTGAGTTTGTGAAAAGAGTCAGACTTGCGAGTGGGATTTTCTTCCGGATGATGTTTTAAAAAAAAACAAACAAATTATCTTGGATAATTTTCGGATCATTCGTTTTTTGAAATCAAAACTTATCTTCAGAAGGACAGATAAAATGTGTTGAATATTCCTGAAAGTCGCGATTGATAACTGCTCAATTTCAAAAGCGGGTTGACGAAATTACTTTTTGATAGCTATAATTTATGTGATTTTTGGATTATGTTTTTCAAACGACGACATTTTTTCGCTTGTAAATCAAACAAGTTTTTTGATTACTCATAAGAGACAAAAAAAGTGCATCACCTTTGCAAACCTCGGCAAAGTATTAGATTAATTGCTTTATTTTAATCTTCATCTGCGAGAAAATCCCGTTTTATCGTAATATTTTATGCTGATGGAGTCATTAAAAATTTTTAAAACACGCATAATGGCAATTCGTCGAATATTTTGCGCTGTGCTAAATTTTGAAATTTTTCCGAAGATATATTTCCGTGCTGATCTGTAGACTGCAAATGTTCTGCTGATTATGAACTACGGTAAAAAAAGTCGTTTTTATGTTTTAACTAAGTAACAATTCGAGATAAAATTGCGATGATTCGTGAGACGTTAGAAAATTTATTATTCAATTTAGCACATTTTTAAAGGTTTCAATCGTTTTTGTCTTCGGTAAAAAAAACTGGTTTAGAAGCATTTCTGAGAAACATCTTTCCAATTTTAAAATTGATGTAGAATCACGGCTAATTTTGCATCTTCCGGGGGATTATTTCCTATAGTTCCTACAATTTTTTTTTCATGCTGATTCGCCTTAATTTTTTTCTCTCTCTTGCTCTCTCATGAATATCAATTCCGGGCGATAGAATTTTGCCTCGGGCCAATTCGACGCCACGAATCGAAACTTCTGTGACTTTCTAATCAGCCGCTTGCTTCCCTTAGCATGAAAATTGCATCATCACCAGCCTCATGGTGGGGGAAAAAAAGAAAGAAATGAAGCAATGGACAGAATAATAACGGAAATGAAGAGAGAGAGAGAGAGAGAGAAATACGCGAAGAGAACTTTGAACACATCCCGACACAGATGACCAGCAGTGAAAGTTGTACTAATAAAAATCCCACCGGGGAAGAGCTTATTCGGAATGTGGGTCTGTTTTTCTTTTACAACAACAACAAAAAAGTGGGAATAGTTGAATGAGGGAAAAGGGTTTATTGTGTGTTTGCAATGCGCGATAAATTACTCTGGTCATCATTTTAGAGCACGGAATTTTCATAAATTTTTTTGCGGACCGGCAAATTTTCAAACGATTTTCTGCGGACCAGCAAAGTTTCATGAAATTTTCTGAGGACCAAATAGTTTTCATAAAATTTTTGCATGCTCAAAAAAGTGTTGCTTGGAAGACATCTTGAATCGCAGGTATTTGAAAATTTTATATTTTTTCGTGTATGAAAAACTCGAGTCAAGAACAACAAAGTATAGTCATAGTAAAGTATATGTCTTCAAAAAATTGAAATGTGGGGTTGAAGAAAGGTTTTTCAGCCTAAAAAAATAAAATAATTTTTTAAATCTGGCAAAAAATTGTCTGAAGTATTTTTTCAAAAGTAGTCTTCAAAAAATTGAAATGTGGGTTTGAAGAAAGGTCAGCCTCAAAAATTAAAATAATTTATTGAATTTGGCAAAAATTTGTCTGAAGTATTTTTCAAAAGTAGTCTTCAAAAAATTGAAATGTGGGTTTGAAGAAAGGTTTTTCAGCCTCAAAAATTAGAATAATTTATTGAATTTGGCAAAAATTTGTCTAAAGTATTTTTCAAAAGTAGTCTTCAAAAAATTGAAATGTGGGTTTGAAGAACGGTTTTTTAGCCTCAAAAATTAAAATAGTTTATTTCTTCAAAAATTGAAATGTGAGTTTGAAAAACGGTTTTCAGACTCAAAAATTAAAATAATTTAATCAATCAGGCAAAAATTTGTCTGAAGTATTTTTATAAGAGAAATGACAAGATATAGTTTCCATGACATAATTTTTAACTTCGATTGTCTTGCCAAAATTTGAGATGAAAAAAACTGTAATATCCTTAATTACTACTTTCGAAAAATTGATCAGCTGGAGAAATTTCCCGCATACCAGCAAAAAACTATAAACACTGATTCAGAGAATGGGCTTCAGTTTTATTTTATTCTTTATATATTTTATTATTCGTTAAATCGTTATAGAGGACGTTTGGTTGAACTGAAATTTGAGTTTTTGAAAAGAGTCAAACCTGCGAGTTGGATTTTCTTCCGGATGATGTTAAAAAAAAAACAAATCTAAGCCTTTTATGCATTTAATTGAAGAAGCGCAACTACTGTAAAAAATAGCGTGAGACAATTTTTGATTTTTCCATGCTTGGATAAATTACTCCGTGTAAAATGATTCAGACTGAGAAAATGATGTTCAGATTTATTCATGTATTTAGTTTATTCGATATTTGAGTAGAAAGGGCTTTTCTCGGAATGTTCAGGACTTATTGCGAAAAGCTTGTCGCAAGTTTTAAAAAAAATGTACACAAAAAAATCTTGCCCCTTCTGTATGCTTTTTTCCTCAACCAAGTAAATTTGTTCTTCTGAGAATCCTGCGAGGAGAAATCCGTTATTTGTCAGTCCAAAGAGCTTTTTCCCGTGGGAAAACAATCAAAACCTGGTGCTTAAATGATGGTGAAGTGTCTTGAGGTTTAATCATGGCATTCTTGAGACTTGTAATTGCGGTGAAGAAAATTTGTAGGATTTTTTTCATGTGAGCCGCCATGACAAATCAAAGAGCCAGAGTGGCCTTAGAAAATGAGAGAATTTCGGTGGATGAGCAATTATTCCTTGCTGGCATCATTCTTTAATTTTTTTCCATTATATGCATTCTTAACAAACCAAAGAAATAGAAGCAGAACGGATTTTTACGCTGCCGCCATGACAGGTCAAAGAGCCACTGTGGACTTAGAACATGAGAGTAATTTGGTGGATGAGCGATTATTTCTTGCTCGCATCATTCTTCTTCTAGAATAATCGTTTCCAAATCTGCATTTTAGCAATCTGAAGAAATAAAAAAGCAGGAGGTTTTTTTTCACGCGGCCGCCATGACAGATCAAAGAGCCAGAGTGGCCTTAGAACATGGTAGCATTTCGGTGGATGAGCAATTATTTCTTTCTGAAATCATCCTTCTTTGGTAATTTTAAAAATCTGCATTCTTAACAATTTGAGAAAATGAAAGAAGAAGGTATTCTTTTTTGACGGAGCCGCCATGACAGATCAAAGAGCTGCGGGCTCTAGGACATCAGAACATTATTTTCCAACTCTCAATGAATGAGTAGTTTATTCCTTCCCCAAAAAATGTCTGCACATTGTTTTTTTTCGTGAATTTACTGTCTTTTCTTTGCATTTCAAAACTCTTGGGGATTTTCATTTGAAATCTTAATTTTAATAATCTGAAGAAAAAAAGTTAAAGGGATTTTTTACTCAGCAGCCATGACAGATCAAAGAGTTGTGGGCTCTAGGACATCAAAATTTCTGCACATTGTTTTTTTTTCCTGAATTTACTTTTATTTTGCATTTGAAAACTTATGGGAATTTTAATTGTAAATCTTCATTTTAACAATTTGAAGAAATAAAAACAGAAGGGATTTTTCACGCAGCCGCCATGACAGTTCAAAGAGCTGCGGGCTCTAGGACATCAACATTTCTGCACATTGTTTTTTTTTATGAATCCTACTGTCTTTGTTGTATTTCAAAACTCATGGGGATTTTCATTTGAAATCTTCATTTTAACAATCTGAAGAAATGTAAAAGGAGGAGCGATTTTTTATGCTGTCGCCATGACAGATCAAAGAGATTCTGGCTCTAGTACATCAGCACATTATTTTCCAACTCTCAATAAATGAGTAGTTTATTCCTTACCCAAACATTTCTGCACATTGTTTTTTTCATGAATTTACTGTTCTTTCTTTGCATTTCATAACTGATGGGGATTTTCATTTGAAATCTTTATTTTAACAATCTGAAGAAATATAAAAGTAGGAGGGATTTTTACACTGTCGCCATGACAGATCAAAGAGCTGCTGGCTCTAGGACATCAAAATTTCTGCACATTGTTTTTTTCATGAATTCACAGTCTTTTTTTTTGCATTTCAAAACTCATTTCATTTGAAATCTTCATTTTAAAAATCTGAAGAAATAAAAGCAGGAGGGATTTTTCACGCAGCCGCCATGACAGTTCAAAGAGCTGCGGGCTCTAGGACATCAACATTTCTGCACATTGTTTTTTTTTTATGAATCCTACAGTCTTTTTTTTTGCATTTCAAAACTCATGGGGATTTTCATTTGAAATCTTCATTTTAACAATCTGAAGAAATATAAAAGGAGGAGCGATTTTTTATGCTGTCGCCATGACAGATAAAAGAGATTCTGGCTCTAGTACATCAGCACATTATTTTCCAACTCTCAATAATTGAGTAGTTGATTCCTTTCCCAAAAATTTCTGCACATTGTTGTTTTTTTTCGTGAATTTACTGATTTTTTTTAGCATTTTTAAGCTTATTGGGAATTTCATTTGGAAATGGTGTCAATTTCTGTGAATTGAAGGCTTTTTTCTGCGGTTTTCCAGGTACAATTTCCCGACTCAACCCAACTACAATGACCACGAGTTGTATTGTGGGGGTTTCAGCCGGCAGTGGCAGAAAAATGGCGGCAAGTGCGGGATTTGCGGCGATGCCTGGGACTTGCCTCAGGTCAGTGATTGTCCTCAATTTTTTGTATTTCTGTCAATCGAAAAAAAAGTAACGGATTTTTTTTTTACGGTTGAACCTCAATTATATGCCATTTCAATTAATATTTCAATATTCAACTTTTGTTAAAACCCTCGTACTGTACAGTATAAAAATATATTCATTTTTTGTTGTTGTTGCTGATTATTCGAAATTTTGCGAGAAAATCGTTCGAGGCAATGAAAATAATTTCTTTCTCAGCCGAGGCCGAACGAAGCCGGGGGCAAGTACGGGTCAGGACTCATTGTTCGCAAGCTGGTCAAAAATGGGCCAGTGAAGATAAAAGTCGAGCTGACTGCGAACCACGCCGGGTTCTTCGAGTTCCGACTGTGTCCCAACAACAACCCGAAAAAGACGGCTTCCGACCGCTGTTTCGACAAGTATTTGCTGGAAAGAATGGACGGGTCCGGAGCCAGATACTTTCCGACTCCCGGTCGCAGCGAAGTTTTCACCAGTTAGTTTATATTTTATTTATATTTTATATATACAGTACAGTATTTTTTGTACAGTATTATCGTCTCTCTTTTTTTTAGTTGCGGTTTTTTAACGAAACAAAAAAATTGAAGGAACATGAAAAGAGAAAGAGAGAATAATTTTTATTGATTAGTACAGTGGGGTCTCAGATTACAAACTTGAATTATGTGAGGAAATGTTATGCTTTACTCATAAAGTTGAAAGATTTAGCTTGATGAAGACATCACATTTTTCGAAATTGTTTATACAGTATTTTATTTATATTTGATGCATACAGTATTTTTATACAATTTTTTTTTCAGATGCGGTTTTTTAACGAAACAAAAAATTGAAGGAACATGAAATAGAGAGAGAATAATTTTTATTGATTAGTACAGTGGGGTCTCAGATTACAAACTTGAATTATGTGAGGAAATGTTATGCTTTACTCATAAAGTTGAAAAATTTAGCTTGATGAAGACACTGAATTTTTGAATTTTTTATATTTTTTTATCAATATTTGATGTATACAGTATTTTTAAATACTGTATTTAAAGGGATGCGAATCATTCAAACAACAACAACAAACAAAACACCTCATTTAAAAAACAAAACTGTCAACCATTTTCATTTGACACAGCGAAAAAAAAAAAACTGTCAAACGAGTTCTTGAAAACAACAATGAGAACTGTTCAGCTTCTCGTTCACTCCATTGCACATGAAATTGAGAAACGTGTCGAGTCCTTCGCCATAGTACTTTTCAGCAACGTGAAACGTATCTGGCTGCACTTGCTCAACACCGATTCGCTTCGACAACTCAACGGCATAATCATGAGGACTGTTCCACAAATCGATCCTTTGGTACTTTTTCACGACCCGTACGGTTTTGTTGAGCATGTGCCAAAAATCGGTCATGGATCTCAGAGGTCCCCATTTCGGGTCCACGGGTTCTTGCACCAGGAAGACCGAATTTACAACGTCCGAGTGATTCAGGAATTGGGCCGTTGTCTCGAGCTTTGCGAAATATTTGGCACACGCGGGCATTTGAGAAACTGTCTTATTGGCATTAGGAGAACAGTTTTCGTCTGTCAAGTTCAACCCACCAAGGAACAGCCACAGGAACGTCCCGAAAGTGAAAAAATCCACGTTTTGCACCATTTCCTGATTTGGTTGAAATAGGGTAAAAAAAAAAAGATAATGCATAATCATAAAGAAGCACTTTGAAAATGAGAATCTAGTTTCTTTGTCTGTTGTTTGTTAGGAAATTTTTATTGACCAATTTCTGCTAGAATCCTTCAAAAATTCTTATTTACGGTGTGAATTCGAATTTTTTTTTTAAAGAATCAGTGGAAAATTTAAAAAAAATCTATTTTTTGGGAAAATTGTAATATTAACTTTTGAAAGGCAATGTGACGAAATTTTAACCAAACTGTGTCCATAGTGTTTTTGCTGAACATGTAAAAATTTCATGCTAAAACCCACATTCTTCACCATTTCCTGATTTTATAGAAATGGTAAATGGTATTAAAGCAGACATTTTAAGAAAGTTCTTCAAAAATCAGAGTCTAGTTTATTTGTGTTTTGCTGAGAAATTTTTATTGGCCAATTTCTTGGATCCTTCAAAAATTCATAATTACGGTGTGAATTTGAGGAATTTCCTTTCGAGGATTCAGGTGAAAATTTTCAGAATATCCATTTGTAAAAAATTAATAAAATACTGCAGGAAACTGAACCTCTTCAAAAGACAAAGTGATAATATTTCAACTAAACTGTTTCCTTGCTTTTTTTTCGCTGAAATTTTCAAAGTTTGCGGAAAATTTTCAACCGTTTTCAATTTTAAAGCCTGACAGAAATCAGTGAGAAAGTTGCGACGGATTCAATTTCTTGAAAAAATTGTAAATTGAACCTTCAAAAGGCGATGTGACAAAATTTCAACTAATCTGTGGCCTTTGCTGAAATATTTTAAATAAAAAATAAATCAATCTGAAAAAAAAAAAGTGCTGAACGACATTTTTCCTCACCTTTTTGAACGAGTATTCGGCAAATAAATAATTCCAGTAAAAACGAACTATTGTCTCATGATCCCCGCTCCAAGTTTTGTTGGTGTAGGGATTATTCAAATCGCCATCAATCAACTCTAATCCCAACTTTTCCGCGAATTTCATTGTCTTGTTTCTCATGGTCGAATCACCAGCAAATAAGAAATGATTGCCAAGTCCGCGTGCTTTCCTCACTTTCAAACAAAGTCTGGCTTCTTCCTCGGAATATTTGTGAATTTGGCACAAATCGCTGACCCATGATAAATCTTTGTTCAGTCGTCCATGAGTCAACACACTTTTGCACAAGTCTGAAGGATGATGCCCTTTTCGTGGCTTGAAATGATGGAATTCAGGCACTCCGAAAAATATCACAATGAATGTAGTGACAATCAAAAGAAACAAACCGCGGGTAATTTCCGTTCTACTCAGGTTGAACATTATTCAGTAAAAATCTCAATAAGAAACCAAAACAAAAACAAAAAAATGTCGGGAACCTGTTCAAAAAAATTCAAGTTTTTTAATATCGAGCCTCAAATCCTTTTTTTTTCATTTTAAAATATTAAAATAGAAAGCAACATAAAAGTATGCAATCAAAAGGGAGAGCATAAATAAAACCCTTTTGTCTGCTTCCAGTTTTCCTTAGAATGACTATTTTAAACTATGTACATCACTATAACGGAAATGAAAATAAATTATCAGGTGTAGAATAAAGAAAAAAGCTGGAAAAGTTCTGGAGGGGAAAAGAAAAGATTAAATTGATTCCTCATGCGTTGGGGGGATTAAATCAAGTTTGTTCAACAAATGTTTTTCTCCCATAAACTTTCTGTATATGCTTTTTCCTATAAGAATTTTGAGCTCAATCAACAATAGCTACAAAAAGGAAAAAATGCTTCCTTTTCCAGTATAATTTGAATTGAATTGGTACAAAAAGGCTCAATCTTGGCTGTATGTGAGTTTTCTTTGTTACAGGAATTACAAAAATTGCTCAACTCAACTACAGGAAAATTCATAATTTGAAAAGTATAATACAACTTCATTAAATTCTGCTGTCTTCTGAAATGCTGAAGCAAAATCAAGGAAAGCAATTAATATGTATCCACTGTATAATAAAAATTTTCTGCATTAAGATCTGGCTAAAAATTCCACTGATTGTTTTGAAGAAAAATTATTCCTTTGAAATCTTATTGTACCCTTCATTCAAAATTTTCAACCATATTTTGTTTTGGGGAAATTTCTGTCAACCAAAACAGTTGTGTGCTGAAGTATTTTCAAAAAAGAAGGGCATTTCAAAAGTTATATTTTCCTGATGAAGCATCAGCCATTGGAAAAATTTAACAAGTCTCCCAAGAAAACCTTCTTTAAAAATTTGAACTAAACAAATAATGCTCTGATTTTTTTTTCTGCAGTGGAGTACCAGTTGCCAAAGGACCTTTTGTGCACCCAGTGCATCCTCCAATGGAGATATGTGGCAGGCAACAATTGGGGCATGTGCAAGAATGGGACAGGGATGCTGGGATGTGGCCCACAAGAAGAATTCAGGGCCTGTGCAGACATAGCTATTCTTGGAGATGGTGAAGTGACTACATTTGAGGACTATCCAGAACAGGTAAAGTATTGCAATGGAAAATAACCCTTGCATTCAATCATTTAACATCCTTAGTGGGAGGAACAACCAGTAGGATCCTACAGGGGTCTGGGGGGGGGGGGGGGAATAATAGGGCCCCCTGTCCGCAGTGGGAGGAACAACCAGTAGGATCCTACAGGGGTCTGGGGGGGGGGGGGGAATAATAGGGACGTCATGTAACATGTGTCTGTGGCCTGTTAGTTTACTGTTTGTTTCTTAAATAAAAAAAATGCAATTAATAGGTTAAGTTGTCAGGATGGCCAAGTGGTCTAAGGTGCTATGTTCAGGTCATAGTCTGGTTCTGCAGGCATGGGTTCGAATCCCACTTCTGCAATCATTTTTTCATTTTTTTTTATAGTTTTTTCGTCCGCACTGCAGACGCTCTACTACTTGAGGTGGATTCACCATCTTTATAGAAATTGGGGAATCTCACCTAAAAGGTTCTGTTTATTCCTTAAAAGGTTATTTATCCAATCTTCATGCAAATCTTTAAATTATTGATCCCCAACCATCTCATCTGATCTGAACTAATTGATCTAGAACAGTGCTGTTTCCCAACTTGTGGTCTGTGGACTGGTGCCAGTCCATGGACACATTTTGCCACTCTGTGGGAAATTTTCTTTGGCGTAAAAAATGTATCAAAAGCAGTGATGAAGTCAGTTATCTTTATCTGAAATTTCAGAGAGACAATGGCAGTTGAAATTATCTGATAAAAAATAAGAGTTGACTTTTCTCCTATTAATCCTTCAGACAAATTTTAACTTGCAAAAATGAATGGTCTTAATTTTTTTCTTTCTGAGAAGCATTTCTTCAAGCCCACCTTTCTAATTTTTTGACAGCATTCCACTACAGCTAGTTCATTGGCTCTTAACTTAATTTTTGTAAAAAAGCAGAACATTTTTAAATACCTGCCATAAAGTCTCTCAAGCAAAACTTTTTTGAGTCTGAAACAAATTCATGACATTTTGCCAGTCTGGCAATTTTTTTTCTTTGGAAATTAGTTCGTCACAAAAAAAAAATGTTTGGAAATTTTTTGGTCTGCAGGCCCAAAAAGGTTGGGAAACACTGACTGATCCATAAAAAAATGTTAACCATGTACCCACTTGAGTACTGGTTGCAGCATCTAATTTTTGACTTTTTGCTTGCAGGATATTGTGCCTCATTCACCAGATGATGCAGACAATGAGATTGACTCTGACCTGCACAAGAAAGGAGAGGAGACGGAAGAAGACGAAGAATTCCGCGTGGGAGAAAGAGTGGCGGCCATTTTGTGCGCTTTTATGCTCACGTCTTTGGTGTTGCTTTTGGCTCTGTGGCTTTCGTATGTGGGCAAGAAGCGGATTGTGGCCTTCTGTGGTGGCCTGGCACCACCTAAAGTCACCTACTTCACAAAGGTGAGATTTATTTCTGGGGGGATTTAGTGCATGTCAGCTTCAGGTTCTGTTAATTTAGTCATTTAAAAAAATTATATGCGGTTGAAACTCAATAATTCAAACCTCCTTGAGTGAAATACAATACCTCCAATTGTCAATTTTTTTCCAAGTTCCTGTCTGAATTCAAAACAATTCATTAAAAAACTCCCTAATTCAAAGGCTTTCCCCCTCAAACCTCCATAAGCTGGATTTTCTGGAGGCCTTTTGGCTATTTTTTTTATTGACACAGGAAACAAATTAATAAAATTTAACTTGATGTGGTTTGATATGAAGTGAAAGACTAATTGGGGAAATGGACCTATGCCTCCAAGTTTAGCACACTGCCAACTCATTCAAGAACCAATTCAACACCAAGAATAGCACCAATTTTGTTTGTTTGTTTGCAAAGCCACAGAAAGGTATTTGCATGAAAAAATGTGTTGTGTTGGAATTTTGGCACTGGACTTTTTGACTAAGAATACTCATCAAAATTCTAGTTAAATTTATAAAGCAAATTTCACATAATTGAAAAGAGGAAGGATACATAAATGCATATTTTTCACTCATAGCTTGGATTTGGGGGTACACTTTTTTAAATATTTTTCCACCTTAATAAATCCTACGTGTTTTGCTTTTTTTTTTTTCAAAGCCACCAAAAGGTGTTTGAAGAAATTTTGATCTTTTGAAATTTTGGCTACAGTATTCATCAGCATTTTAGTTTAATTCATGAAGTTCATATAAACTTCAGACATCACTGAAATAAAATTCGATGCAATTAATTTTTACTCTGTTATCCTAAAACCTTTTTTTATCAAATGTTGAAGAGAATATAAGAGATTTTTCAATTGGCAGTGAGCCTAAGCAAATACTTGCCATAACGTCTTACAGAAACTTCACCACCAGCCTTGCAGCTCAGGTAACTATGGTTTCTTAGCTTAACATAGGATTTTCTGTTTACAGTAGTTTTGATTTGAAGGACTTTCTCAGAAAGGGTGAGTAAAAGCTAAGAACCTTCTTTTGGATGAACAGTGATTTATCACAATGCAGTATACACTCAAGTAATTGGCACAATGTCTTGAACGCAAATCCTGGTGAGTTTATAGGATGATGCACAAGTTTAAAGGGAATGGGATATGGGCTGGCAGCAGGTTATTGGACTGCTGGCTGAATGATCCATAAAAACAAAAGGGAATGCAGGCAAGAGAGACACTGTGCTGCATGGCTTGCTACTTCAAAGCACACATCACAGGTGATTAAACCGCATTACACGCAATTCAACCTGGAGGGGAACAAGACACAGAAGAGACGGAAAGGAAAAGAGGGGAGAGAGAGCAGCACAGGCAGGGGAGCTAGCATCAATCAGCTGGTTTTCCCAAACTTATTGATGTCGATTGTTTGGGTTTCCAATAAATATTTTAAACCGCGAAAATAAATTCTAATTTTTTTTTAAATTTTATTTCACAGTTTTTGAAGCCGCAGAAAGGAACCTCGAAACCCGGGATTCCCAGCACCGACCCCTACGGCACTCCATCGGCCGCCATTCACGCGGCCTTGGAGCGCGGAGAAAAGCCGCCAGTGGCGCCATCTCGTAGCGTGAAGCCCCCCGCCATCTACCACAACGGATTCACCAATGCCACACTCACTGCCCCGGGCAGCAGTGCTGGGGGAGAGCCGAAGCGGCCCTCGGTGGCGCCGCCGCCACCGCCCAGCAGGCCGCCGCGACAACGATCCCCGAAACGACAGACGTCTTTGGGCGCCGACGACGAGAGGACGACTGATGCCGAGAGCAGCATCACTGTCAACGGCGTCGCCTTGCCGGATTGAATCAGTGAAGAGTCACTTTCGTGAATTCAATGCGATGTATACGAGCAGGGTATGATGTCGATATGATGACACCCACGAAAGGGTATACCGTTTCGTGAGAATCAATTACAAATATGGACACCAGCCTGAGCAGCTTACCAATATCCGTGTGGGAAAACTTTATTTTCTCGCCTGTTATAGTGAATCCCAATTACTTCAAATGCACTACTTTTCATGAAGAGCATTTTAAAAAGAATACAGTTTGATACAGAGCCTGTTGAGAAGCATACGGCTTCATAAAAAGCTCCAAGTTTTGAAAATAAACATGCTCATAATTAGGATGAAGCTCTAAAAATGCTTCAAGTTTGGAAAAGAACATGCTGAAGAGGATGAAGTTTCACAAAGTGCGTGTTACAATTTTGTAAAGAGCATGTTAAAAATGAATAAGTTTCATAAAGCGCCTGTTGAAAAACATAGTTTTAATAATAGTATTACAAAGTTTGGTGAAGGTCATGCTGAAGAGCATAATAGAGCATACAAATTTATGAGTAGCACGAAGTTTGATAAAGAGCATGAAGTTTGGTGAAGAGCATAATGCTTGATAACAAGGATAGACATTATTCGAGAGCATGTTGAAGAGCATACAGTTTCTTAGAGCATATAAAATTTGATTTAGATCATAAGGTTTGAATTGGAGCATACAGTTTGAATAAGGGCATAAAGTTTGAATAAGAGCATAAAGTTTGACAAAGAGCATACAGTTTTATGAAGAGAATGAAGTTTGATAAAAAAAAAGCTCGTTTAAGATGATAACGTTTTTTTTATCAGTCTCTTAAAGAGCATACAGTTTCATAAAAAGCATGATCATCTGAGCTTCTGATCATTAGAATTTTTTTTATGATGATTTCTTGAAAATATTTTATTCAAGAATAAAATATTGAAACTTGATGCAAAATGAAACAAAGCAGCAGTGATTTTTCATAAGAAATGCCCCACAAAAGAATTATCATCAACCCCATTAATGTTTGTTGCAGTGCTTTCAGGTCAGATACTGTTTCTAAAGTCTAAATTATGTCTTGAAAATAAATCTTCCTCATGAATGTAACTTTCTGTATCCAAGAGAGGCTCTTTATTCATGTTTCAAAAATTAAAATGATTTATTTTTAATGTATTAGATTTGCGTTTCATTGCCAGGTGAGAAGTTCCCAACTTCATTTGAGTTGTCAAACATCATGCTTTCATGACTGCTCCTTTGTAGAAACATTAAGAGCAGAGATTCTCAGGTTTTGTATGGGTTTCATGTGATCTTGAGGCAAACAGTGAATCTTTCAAAAATATTGAACTGTATCATTCCTGAGATTTTACTTTTCTAAGACTTCAAACATATTTCTCTCCTGAAAGAAAAATCTATACTGCAGAATATCTGAAACTTGACGATGAAATGTTTCGATTCATAATTGAAGCTCATTATTGCAACAAAGTTGAGAAAACTCTGTCCCTAGATGTGACTAGAAGGAAAAATTGAAGGAGTTGTCAGTCATATCATTTCAGAAGGTCATTCAGGCATTCATTTTGAAACACGTTTTTCTTTCTGGTGTGAATGCGTTGATTCTCTTGAGCCAAGCGTTCTGTTGAAAAAAAAAAGAATCTGTATTTTACTTGTGTAGACACAAATAGTGTTTCCAGAAGTGTACCAATATACTCTTGCCAAGTCTTTTGGAGGAAAAATAAAAAGATGCATTGAAAATGAAAAAAATATTTTCATCATTTCTAAGACTGTCTATAACCACTCATCAGTCAGACAGCCCATGAGAAATCACTTCAGTATTTCCTTTTCAGCACCAAGTCATAACTCTTTTTTTTCAGACCCCAGGACATCGCTGTAAAGGGTTTTTATTTGAACAGAATTTCGCAAACCACTCTCTCGAAAAATTCAGGGAATGGTTAAGACCATCGACTTCTTCACTTTTTGCAACCCTTTCTTAATTTGGCTAATCTTATTTTTTGGTGGGAAACTGACAGAAGGGAACTATTTTCGCAAATTGAAAGGAACGATTTCCGGAAAGCGCCTTTGTTCAAGATATTTCCCAAATCTTGCAGAAACGGAAAATTCCTGAATCACTCCCGACCAAATGCGATTTTCGTCGTGCAAGAACCCGTGGACCCGAAATGGCAAGGCCCAAAATACACCAAGTCTTTTGGAATATTCCCACAATTGAAAATTTCGTTCAATTCCATGAGCAATGCAGTGAAAAATGAAGATAGTTCACACTGTTTTCATAAAGAACTTGCTTGAATGGCCATTAAAAGGGTGATGACTCTTCTTCAATTTTGCAGAGTCCAATGGAAACAGTTGCAAGTGATATATTTTTTTGCTTCATTCATGCGATTTTGTTGATGGAAAAAAATAGGATCTGTATTCTACTTCCGTAGACAAGACTGTAGTGTACCGAATACATACTCGTCAATTCTTCCACGGAAAAATAAAAAAAATGTGTACAGTATTGAAGAAAGCGGAAAAGAGCAGTCATTTCATTGCAATTGTACCCATCGATCTTCAAAGGGCAATCAAAAAAAGATTTCAGCGCCGACCAATGACAAAGAAATGCATTCTCAAGCCCTCCTCAGAAAATGTTCCCTAGTAACCACAGGAACCGAGGAACACGGCAACATTCCGATCTCAGTAACTAACGCACTGACAAAATCCCCGGGCATCACATCATACTTGAGGTTCAAGGTCTTGATTTGGGCACTGGTCGATCCAGGATTCAAGTTCAAATTCTCCGTCAAATTCAGCAACTCTGACTCGGGTCCTGGAACATCCAATTTCTCAAATCAAGACCCTTGCCACAAAAATTAAAAAAAAGCATCGAAAATGACTCACCCAGTTCGTTGAAGTGAAACGAATCAGTCTGAACGGTTTCAGTAAACTTGAAAGTTTCGCAGCAAACCAACACAGGGACATTTCTCGAATTCGCTACCATTGCCACTTGGGATGCGCCAATGGGGCCCTTAACGGCACCATTCGCCAAAATGGCGTCTGCCCCCAAGATCACCTTGTTGACCTAAATCAAAAATAAAATGAACATGAACTTGTGATACATGAACAATTTTACATCACACACTAATCAAAATACTGCATCTTGATTTTGTGGTCATGCACCACTTTTAACTAGAATTAAATATAGTAAAATCTGGTCACAACAAACATTTGGGGACTTGGGAAGATATACTGTGCTCAATAATTTGCAACAATGAGATTGTAAAAATTAATGACTGGAAATATGGCCACACCAGACCTGCCAAAAATCAATTAAATCTTACTTTTCTGGCATTCTTGGATTTTTAATAACTATTGTATTTGAAAAATTGAGTGATTTCCAAAAAGATAAATTAGCTTGAACCATGCATTCCATCAGTAGCACCAATCTTTTCATTCTGGAAGAATAATAGGAAAATTTCAAACTGGAGTATCTATCAACCATTCCTCAAAAAAACTTTTCACAATGGAATCAGAATTTTCTTCAACAAGATGGTTTCAAAATGTACTCTATGGGCTTTCTGCTGGGACTTGAGAAAATGATTGTCATCCCCAAAAATTTGTTCATTGCAATACAGTATACAAGTAATTCTGCACTTCTGAAGAGTATATGACATCTTTTACAAGTTCAAAATAACAATTATACTTTAATTGAAGCTATGATGCAGAATAAAAAGCTAAAATGTACATTTTTCCTGTGCCATCATTTATTTATAGTCAAGAAATGCCCATAAAAACACAGCTTAAAAGTATGCAAAAGTCAGGGGTGATGGTACAGTGCTCTGAAATAATATACTGAACACATTGGATTATATACGACAAACAAGGTGGGAGAGTTGCACAGCACTTGTTCAAATCTGGCCAAGATTATGAAAATCGGATAATCCCCACCCTAAAAAAACGCATTACCTTGGACATGACAACATTCAGTGCAGTGATGTAAGTGTAGCAGGCCTGGATCCCAGCACAACAAAGCTCTTCTAGAGACAATTTCCCTTCAAAATCTGGTCCAGTGTCCACAACAATCACCTTGAACTCTTTCTTCAAATGTTCTTTGGCATATTTGACAATTGATGTCACCAGAGCACAGCTAAAAATTCAAATACAAATTCCATATTAAATGTTTCAATGAAGGGACTACATTTTCTCAGTACTCACTAGCCATAAATCAGCACAACGTCTTCATCAACAATTCTGGCAGCAGCAGTGAGTTTTATCTGCTCTCGCGCTAATCTAATGAATTCAGTCGAGTCTGCGATGTGCTCCAACATTTTCAATTTCACCTATCGATTTAAAATAAAATATCTTCAGGAATCAGAACTGACGACAGAACAGGATATTAAGTTTGAGGAAAAACGGAACTTCGAACTAATTCACGAGGCAGCGTTAAAAACTCACAGATTTTCAAGACAAAGTTTTAAAGCAAATGTCCCTCGAAATTTATGCAATGTAAACAATATACAGGTAGACTCTCTCAACAAAATTCAACGGACCAAAAAACCTTCGTCACAGCGATGATTTCATTATAGGAAACCCTAAATACATGGGGAGCCAATAAAAAAAAAATTCTTAATACAGTACAGAGAAAGTCGTTCTCGACATGATTATCGTAGAGAGAGACCACCTCTACCTGTATATGATTCACAGTTTTTTTTTTAATTATTACGAAAGCATACTTATATAATATTAAATTTTGACACATGACCCCGAATTTCAGACTTGCAGTAAATCAATTTCAACCATAAATACCGCGTCTTCACCTCATTATCTCCTTGCGTATTCTCCATGCCAAAAAGAGTTTGACGAAACACCTCCACAGTATTTCGCATCGACAAGGACAACGGGCGACACCTGTGCAAAAACTCGAGACTCGGTTTTAGCACAGTAGCGTCAAAGTCTCGGATTAGTTCCTTTCCTGCTGGGGCTTCGTAGTCCCGCAAAACCTGGGACAAAGTGTGCAAAAGACCGAATACTCGCGTCGTGGAGCCACGCAAAAGCCCGCGGTGCATTTGCAGGCCAAACTTGACAACTGCAGGATGAAATTGGCCACCAACAACTCTGCGGAGTTCGAACACCATTAATGAAACGACGAGCGAGGGAATTTATATTTTTAAAAATGGGTGGTAATGTATACAATAATTTACAAAAATTTCGATTAGCAATTCATCAGATGATCAGCAACACAGGAAAAAAATCGGCAAAAACGTTTTTCTCAGCATGTTTTGAATGAAAATAGCGACTCAACCCTGAATGTCAGCACATTACACTGTTAATTTTCACCAAAATACTATAGAACCAATTTTATAATTTTTACTTCCATCACTTCTGTCTCAAGTTGGAAAATAAAATTGGCCATCCAAAGTTTCTTGCCTTGAACAGTTCTGGTCTCAAAATTGTACATGCATCGAAATTGTCCACGTCTTAAATTGCCCCTGTCTAAAAAATATTTCTCTCACAAATTGTCCATGAACTGTATCAAAATGTTTGTCTCAAATTATACTGTGCACATTTCAAAATGTTTCTGCCTGTATTGCTCAGGTCTAAAAATGCTTCTGTCTCAGATTGTCTGTGTCTCAAAATGTTTCTTTAAAAAATATTCGCATTAAAATAAACACATCCATTTTTCCAAAAGAAAAGAAAAAACCACGTTGAAGACGCTTG